TGGGTATCTCTTGGAGCATCTATGCATTAAAAAGGCCCTTTTTTGTTTGTGATAGTGGAAAAGGAACACAATTATGTTGTTTCTTCCTTCATTACTCACCTCCTAAGTAGGGCCTTCACATTTCTACCTCACAGTCCTGCTGAGATGTAATACATCTTTTAGTAATGTACCACTAGTCAAATTCTAGATCTGATTATTTTGTTTCTTCCAGATATTTATTTGTAAATATATGTGAACTTTTCCAACTATTTTCTGCCACGCAAGGCAATTGAAGTAGTCGGGTGTCTTGACTTGTATTCTGTGTGAGCTTTTTAAAGAAACAGTGAAATTAAAACAAGTGAAAAACACTACTCACAACACAGTCAGTCCATCTCTCTGATAGCTGAAAGAAAATAGATATTTGGTTCTTTCACAGAATATTTCCATTCTGTGCAGGTCTGGAAAGACCTCCATATTCCACAACTAACTGTCTTTTCATCCTAGGAATAACTGATAACAATTTCTAGTTTTTTCACCACTATTAAAAGTTTCATATGTACTGACTATTCTGGCATTTTTTGTGGCACAGTGGTTCTGCTTTTATGGTAACAACAGGTGCTGGAGCAGTTGTCATTGTTATAATGCTAACAAAGTAATTTACCAAGATCCTGAGCTCAAAACTTTTCAGACCATCTGTTTTTTGTTTGGTTTCATGCACATTACTTTTAGACCTTTTTTGACTTCAGAAGTATTTTCCTGCTTAAAAAATAAGAGTTTTTTTGGTTTTGTTTGTTTGGATTTTTTCAAAGTGAGAGTTATTTCAAAAGCAAAGGAAGCTCCTGAAGTTCTTTGTCTTATCTTTAGTTATTAAAGGTAATGAAATTTAATCCAATACTTGAAAATTCTGAGTTAAAAAAAATCATCGTGCAATAGTGATGGAACAAGAGAGGCCAAGGCACATCCCTTTATGGTACAAAAAATAATTAGGGAAAAATGAGTGGCCTTTCTTAGTATCAATGTTGGCATGTGCTGCAAAGAAAGGAAGAGGTTTCTCAAGATGTGTAACTATCTCTGCAGAGGGAAGGGACATACGGTTCCACTTGCTCTGGCAAAACCAGACTAAGTATGACTAAGTATGACTACGTATGACCTCAGTAGATGGGCAAAATGTGCTGCCCAGTGACCAACCAGCATTTCAGTTCTCTTTGTCTGAGTCCTGGTAATCTCCAGGCCATGACCCATGTCCCAGTGGGGCCATGAAAGAACAGTCAGAAATCCTTCAAGCTACATCTGGCTAGGAGGAGGCTTGTAGCCCTCCGGGTGATTAACTGAAGCTCTGGAACGTGAGATTTTGTTGTAATCTTTATCTTAATGTGCAACTGCAAGGGTAATGGGAAGGCTGAGGGCAATCCTATTCTCAATCCTGTTCTCCCCAAGGCCCTCAAAGAATGGTGACTGAGGCAGCTCATAGAGTAGCAGATCCCCTGGTTTCAGACATTTTCCAAGTACTAACTGCAGTCTGAATGGGAAACAAAGGATTGTCACTTGTTGAAAACAGCTGCTCCATAGGAGATCAGGTTTTAGACAGTTAGAAAGCAGAAGTCAGCCAAAACAATACTTTTCCCCTCTTTAAAGATGTGGCACTCAGACCTGGTTTTCTCACAGCATTTACTGTTTTCTGTTACATTTTTGGTAAGCTCCCATCCTTCTATGCATGTTTAGTACAGCTATAGCCACTTTTGGAGGCTGCCTGCTTTCAGGCAGCTAACCACAAACCCAGCTGGGAATGATGGCAACAGTTTCAACTCAAGGCAGGCTTTCCTCTGATTTGTAATTTTTCTCCTTCATCTCTGTTGAAACTGCTTGCAAGCTGCCCTCTTAACTCATGCTGCTCTCTTGCAGGCCAATCTGCCCCTGCTGCAGCGGGAGCTGCTGCACTGTGCAAGGCTAGCCAAGCAGAACCCAGCCCAGTACCTCGCCCAGCACGAACAGCTGCTTCTGGATGCCAGCACCACCTCACCTGTTGACTCCTCAGAGCTGCTTCTCGATGTGAACGAAAACGGGAAGAGGCGAACTCCAGACAGGTGAGCAGCACCACACCTTTCCTGTCCTGCCCACAGTGTGGTGCTGAGCTCCCCCAGCACAGGGGCAGCATGAGGGTCGATGCTGGGGGGATACTTGGGTGGTGTTCCCTGGGTGCAGGTGTTTCACCACCTTCCATATTAAAAATTTCTTCCTAGTCTGAATCTACTCTCTTATTAGCTTAAAATCATTCCCCATGTCCTTTCATAACAGGTCCTGATTATGCATGTCTGCATATACATACCTACATACATGTGTAACTATAGAGAGAGCTGCATACACATATATATTCCTGAGTATATAAACATAATACATGCACACACTGATTCAGTCACCTCAGGACACGCTGTGGTCATATCCACACAGAAGTAATGGTCAGCCAGTACTGTATTACTTTGTGCACAGTATTTCAGTCACGTAGTGCCAAGCAGCAGATCATGCCAGCTCCATATGCAAGTCCTTTGCATCTGACGTTTTGTTGAACTCAACACTAAATGTGAGGAGAGTCGCTAGGCATTTATATTGGGAAGTACAGGGCAAACCCCAGAGCACACTCAGGGCTTTGACTCCTTCTGTTGTGCCATATTTCCATACCCATACATGGAATATGCATAAGGGTATTTCTTTCAAAGAGGAGAAAAGTTCACTGCAGTCTGTTTTGTTGTTGAGTTGAGGAGAGTCCATGCAAAAATGGGACAAGCGAATGAATGTGTGTGAAGTACAGTGGCTTTAGGAGTATGGAACAGTTTTTATTTTTTGGAATAAAGTTCTTTGCTTAGTGTTACAAGGGAATTATTCTTGTGGTTATTTACTTTTAACTGCCTTCCTATGCTAATGTTAGAAATTCAACTGGCATTTACATTTTACCTTTGGGAAACTCAGGTATTGTATTTTTCATTGATTTGTTTGCCATGGGTTTTATAGTGTGGAAAACTTTTATTATACTTTTCTGCCACATACCACTACCTGTATGCCTGAGGTATGCAAGTATCCTAGTTATCTTTTAAATGAAAAAGATGATTTGCAAAGTCAAGAAGCCTCATAACTTTTTACAGGTGACATTTTTGTGTTGGAACAGGCTTGAATGGCACAAAAATAAACAGAAAACAAAGTCTGAAAGCTCACAGTAAAACTTTAGAATTCTCATAGCCAGAAGTGAACAGTAAAATCTAAAGTCACATAGCCATTAGATAGAAAAAGATGTGACAGTATTTGAAATTAGTTTTCCTGAGATTGTGTTTCAGAAAAATCACAATGAACCAGCAAGAAAATTAAGGTATAAGCAGAAAAGCTCCTTTTATATGTAGCTACGTTCTTTCCACCAGTTTTTCCAGACAGCTAGACCAAACTGAAGGAGCTATTGGGGTTAATACAAGCATGTTTCTGCACCTCAGAAAGAGAAAGATGATTACTTTTTGGACATTATACGTGTATTCTCTTACTATGTGCAATGAAATAATTTTTCCAAAGCTGAAATCTAGTAGCTTGGGGTAGTTCTGTATATTCTCAATCTTTGCAGAGTAGTGTAGCAAAACATCTGTTAAAAAGGCCTCTTAATATCTTGTGAATGGCTTTAATGTCAGCATGCTGTACCTCCGGTTCAGTAGCAGACACAACATTTTTCCTCTAAGGAGATAGACACACATGAAATTATCTCATAAGCCAGTGAGGTATTGCTTGACAGAATACAGACAATAAGCGGGATGTGCTTTCCCGACTCACTCACTGTTTTCTTTCCTGTTAGTGGAGAGGAGTATTGCTCATATTTCCCATAAGGCCACAAAGGAAAAATGTAAAATAGTCTTTCCTTTGCATTTGGAATAATGCTCCCTTTCTTTGAGACCCTGTTTGACAGTGTTGAATTTTGGTTATTTTGTAGTAAGTACTGTCTCATCTGTGTTATCTTCAGTCCTGCTTGTGAGGGAGAAGATGGGTGACACAGGTAGAAACTAGGACAAGAACTTTGTTATGAAACCAATACAGGGTCTTTCCATTACAAAAAGGCCATAAGATTAGCACATAAAAGGATCAGCAGATCAGGAGAATATTGGATTTTAAAGTCAGCCTTCATCTTTTAGTTAAAACTGAGGCCCAGACCCAGAGATATTTGTGTATGGTTTATGAATTTTCTTCTCAGCATTTCCTTTGAGTTAAAATACATAGGTGCTGTTAAAATTCCTGAGTCTTTCCTTGAAAGTCAAGTGCCTTTGGCTTCACAACTGAAGTCTCTCTTAGGCTGTGAACAGTTGGGGAGCAATGCAGCTTTTGGGGTGAGGGGTGGACAGTTTATCTTCCATTGTTGTGGGTAAAAGCCTGTGTCTGAATTCCCAGGGTCCAGGGAGGGTGTAGCATGGGCTGTCCCATTGGCCTGCACACTCCAACATCATCAACTTCTGTCAGTTGCAGCCTGAAATTCAGCCCCTTAGTTCTGGGGAAGTGGTGTTTCAAAAAAACCCATCCTTTCTTTTTGACCCTGCAACTGTTTGCTGTAGTGAAAAAGGCTCACATGAAAAAGAGACTGCCCAGTGCGCTCATTGGAATGTTACCTTGAGCTTAAAAAATAAGTTGCTTTTGTTCAGTGTCAAGCAACCCTGTCACTGGTCAGTCACATCTACGTCTCCATTGTCTATGACTGTAATAAAAGCTATACAGAAAAAAATATGTGGTAGTGTTGGCTGAGCCAAGTTCAGTGGAGTTGTCTTGTGCACTCAAGAACATTTGTGCAACAGATTTAGTAAAAAGAACAAGATGCTTTTGGAAAGATTCTTAAATTTACGGAATTGGAGTCTGCATACCTTTTAATTTGGTTAATGTAAGTAAATCAACCACAAAAAGCTGTCCTCAGAGGTTGAACATGCCTAGACTGAGTGAGTTTTGAAACCAAATACTTGGCTGGTTTTATACTCATTACACTATTAATTATTTTAATTGTTTACAGAGGAGCATGAGGAAACATCTGGAAATGTATATATCTTTTGTTTAGAAATATAAGTAATTTTCAAATATACTAATAAAAATTCAGCAGAAGATAGCAGACATACTTTAAGGGAAGGGTTTCCTGTGACTCCATGGCTAGTAAATGAAAAAAAATTCTCAAAGGCCACCTCTTTCCAGGAGAACTAAGTGCAGCTGGAATAATTTTCATTGCAGATGTGTGTCTTACTGAAGTAAACTGTGTTATCTTTTTCACTTCCCAAGGTATATGGTATATATGTATAGATATATAGTTATACACATGCATGTATTGTATACAATGTATATGTTATATATATACATACATGTTTATATTTTTCATTTGGGCATGGGTAACTGCATACCATTAATTCCATTAGAGGAAGAGTACAGTAGAGGATTAGGCAAAGAAGGTGGAACAAGTGTTACATGTAGCCACAGCTGCCTCATGATTTTTTGTTGAAGAAAATCTACATACAGTATTTTTTTATTCTGCTTATAATCTCAGAACCTTTTTTGCATATCCATTTTCCAATTCTTATTATTTATCTGCATATCCAAGTCTACTGTATGTGAGGTTTTATAGAGCAATCTGACAGCCAAGCTTTGTGTTTTACTGAATGTTTTCTTCGTGCATATGGTCTGACACGGATGAGCAGCCACGGTGAGATTTTGGAGTCTATTAAACTAGCTCATTAAAAAGATCAATCTGTTTCTGTAATAACACTGGGAACCATCAGTCACTGCAAGAGAGGAAAACTGACACCTGAGGAGACAACACATTTTGGTAATTTGTTCATGACATGTCATGAACAAAGTGTTCACTGTGTTCTGTTTACAAGTTTTGGAGTTTACATTCTACTGTAGTAAAGCAAAGGAACTTGGACCACAGTGAGTTTTTATTTTGGTGAATGAATGCTTAATTATAAATCACATGATTTTAAATACATTAACAACAAAAAACTTTGCTAATTACTCATCCTTTGAGCTTGCTGGAAAAGGCTGATGGCATGTGAGCATGCCATGTAGTGACTCTACATTTATGACAGTTCTCTACTAAGTGGATATAGGATAACAAAAATTTCTGTTAGAATAGCATTATTTTGAGTGAGAAGAAAACTAAAGTGGCTATGACTGTGTTGTGACTTAAGAAAGTGCTGCTGTGGTTGCAGTACACTTGGAGCCAATGACATGAAATAGGTGTCGAAGGTACCTGGGCACAGAGATAAACTTTGATAATACTGTTAGTAAATCTTTTTTGAAGAGGCTCCTCAGTATCTCAGTAAGGTGAAGGATGCTCACAGCTCTTACATCTGTGCTCCTTGTATGCCATGTGTAATTATGAGGAATTTTAAAAGAATTTTTGTAATATGAATTGTTAGCAAGGCAGAAAAGTAATTTTTTTCTGTAACACAGTATTATAAACAGATACTTTATTCCTGCAAAGCATTATCATTTGTTTGATTCATCCAACCTTTATTGGTGGAAGTCATTTTAAATCAAAGCATCTTGCACAAATAGTAGATGAACAGCTTTGTCTCCTTCTTGTAAGCTGGCTTTAGTGTTCTTTGAAATTTGTGTAATACTCCTGATCAGGTTAAACCCAATTTTTTAGCCAAGGCAGTTGTGCATGGTCAGATTTTCTACCCAGGAAATTATCCATAAATTACATAATTTAAAACTGAAATCACAACCTAAAACCAACATAAATTCCATTAAATACATACAGGTTAAAAAGTAGTGTCTATTCTGCTGTCTTTAATCTAAGTAAATCATAGCTTTAAGTAAAATGACTCCCCTTGTGTGTTTATAGCTGAAGGACTCCATCTTTGTCATATTAACAATTTTCCAAACAACACTGTTGATTTATAGGCACATCAAGGAAAAAGGTGGCCAAGAGAGTAAGGAAAAAAGTTCCAGTTATGTTTTCTATGCATTCACTGTTATTTCCACTCTACAGCTTCTGGTTAATTTGCAAAATCAGATGAAAGCAGATTAAAATTGTGATGGTGTTATATTTGGAACTACTATTCACATGGGTGTGCCAGTTACTGGGAAACAGGAGTGCTTCCTCAGGCACCTGGGAAAATGCTGTTGCCCCAAGGGGGTGAGACCTAAAAGAATGAGTAGGACTGAGATCAGAAGCAGACTAGTAGGTCAAATTCAGAGCATCTGAATTATGGCATTCTTCAGTACCTCATCTTTTATCACTCTATTCATATATAGTAAATTTGGCAGCAGTTCCTGTTCTGATGAGGTTTTCTAAGTTGTTACCTTTTTATATATTTTTATGTGCTCAGAAACAAAAAATGAGTTTATGTACAGTCTCATTCTGGTATTATGGTAAGCTGTTTATTTGGTCAGTGCAGAAAATATAACAACAAATTGTAGAATTAAATTTTTACGCCCAGAAAAGACATAGCAAAAACATCATTTCAGTAAATATGTTTTCAAGAGTCATGCTAGTTTCTATGTTAGTCAGAGTTCAGTGGATATGCTGGTGTGTTTTCCAAGCTAAAGTAGTGCATTCCAGTTAAGGTAATTAAGTACAAAGCAGTCTTAAAAAATACAGAAATACCTGTACATTAGGTGCAAATATATACATTTGTATGAAAATATATGACTTTAACATCAAGCTGTAGTGCAGAAAGGGAAAACTGGATTCCCACTTGTCCCAGTTTTATTCAGTGACCAAGTCAATGAGTTATTTAATTGTTTGCTGTTTCTGACTTTTACCCATCTAAGTTAGAGAACATTCTAATTGTGGTACTAAAAGACTTATGTGAGTTATTAGTTTGCCTTGTACAGACAGAAAAGTCAATTTCTTTTGCTTGCATAGTATTTTGACAACTGGAAGATTGGCACACTGACTTTGAGTAAATATGTGCAAAGAAAACACACGCAAGCCACTAAATGCAAACTTGTCTTGAAGAGCTGTCAGAAACTTCACCACCCATTGGGAGTTATTGCAAGCAGGTACATTGTGCCAAAACTAATAAAAAATATATGATGGACCTCAGGTTTTCTTGGTTAGGAGTTTTCACAGCCATGCTGCATTTCTTTTGGAACAAGGTACATACTCCACTTTAGCAAAGTATGTCTTTTATATCTGCCCAAATGAGAATAGATGTCCTGCTGTGCTGGGGGAAGATTCTTCCCCTTTTGGCAAATTACAGTTTAGTAAAATATATATATATATATATATATATATATATATATATATACCTGCAGCTTCTCTGGCATTAGTAATTTTGGTGAGGTCTCTGAGTAATTGCTTCACTCCTTCTGAAAACAATGCAGCCCATCTTTTAATTTCCTGCTGCTAGTTACAAGATCTTAGTTTGATTCTCTCTCTCAGAGGATATTGGCAATGATTTGGTTTCATCCTTCCTCTCATTGGCCTTAAATGGGAACCTGTTGAGGGGTGACAATACACTGTTTCCCCACAGACGTTCCCTCAAGGGTAGTTGATTGGTTTCTGGGGGAAGGTTTGTTGTAGAGCAGTTGGTTTTAACAATAGGCAAACAAGAGAATTTGCTCAAATTTACCTTTCTGTCAGTGTCAAAAAATTGTGTTATCACTAGGAATGATACATTATGCCATCCCTTTATTCCAGAGGATAAAGTTCTTTTATAAACAAGCTGGAATATAACAGCAGCTTATGGAGGGAGGAATGAAGCCTCAGTTTGCAATATTTATATCTAAGAAACTTCCTGATCAAAACTAATATTTTGTAGGTTTTCTTTATTCATGTGGTTTAAAAAAACCCAAACATTTCAGTGAAATGAAACTTCCCCAAAAGGGTTGTGAACCTGTTGAAGTAACTGTAGGGTGGGGTTTTTTTGCTTGTTTGTTTGGAGGTTTTTTGTTTGTTTTCCTTTCTTTTTTTTTTTTACTTGTTTGTTTGTTTGTTTGTTTGTTTATGAGCTTTTTAAAATACAGTTTTAATGGAGAATTAGTTTGGAGTGAGTTCAAGGTTCTCAGGCAGAGGTGTCAAGTAGAGAGTTCTTTGGAAATAGCTGATTATGAATTTAATTAAAGACTAACTAGAACATAAAAAACCCTCTGTCCTTCTCCTCAGAAGCTCTTCCAAGTCACCTGAGCATAAAGCCCCTGTCTAAGAGTAATGGAGTGGGAAGTCCTGAACATTATTGAGGACTTGAGTCTAGCCACATCTTCCTGCAAAATTAATGATAGTCACAGCACCATAGCCCAGATGGTGCAAGAATCTTTGAAGGATGCATTTCTCATCATTTAGAGTCAATTCTTCCCCAAAGTCTCTGTGTGACATTGATCTTGATGGGAGCTCATGGTATGCTGAGCTTCAGCACACTGACATTCACTATGGTATCCTCTTGAAAACAAAACCATTTCTTGAATGGCAGGTTTCTCCTAATCACTATAAGCTGTAGCACTACTGAATATTGGAATTTCTTGGTCCCTAGTTTCATGTATCAGTTGATGGTTTCACCTCTGCAATTGCATGTGTATCTATGCCATCAGTCTGTGATCTCAGCAAAGGCTGCTTGCTCTCCAGCCCCTCGTTAGGTGGCTCTGTCAGAAGGTCACCCTGATGGTATTTCTCAAGTTACAGGGATGGTTAGACAAGGTGAATGAGTCCTTTGTATGTTTTGATTCAGCAGTGTTATGAAATGTTCTGCAACACCACATATTTGGAGCAAATTGAAGAACAATCTTTAGTTCCTGAAGCTGCATGTGTATGTGGGGGTGCATATTCCCACCTTCTATTCACTAAGTGAATTAAAGTTCCTTTGCTTTGTTTTTCAGAACCAAAGAAAACGGCTTTGACAGAGAGCCTTTGCACTCAGAGCATCCAAGCAAGCGGCCCTGCACTATTAGCCCAGGCCAGCGGTACAGTCCAAATAATGGCTTATCTTATCAGCCCAATGGTCTGCCTCATCCCACCCCACCTCCACCTCAGCATTATCGTTTGGATGATATGGCCATTGCCCACCACTACAGGGACTCATACAGACACCCCAACCACAGGGACCTCAGGGACAGAAACAGACCTATGGGTAAGGCACGTTGATTTTCTGCATTGTTTTTTTAGGTTTCTGTTTCCCTTGTAACTTTATTTTGTGAACAGGACTTTTTTATCTGCAGTTCAGATGTAGCCTTTATGGGTGTTTGTCCATCCAGCTGCTTCTAATGGCCTTATTTCAGATCTGTACTTGTAAAAGTGGATTGAATTGTGTCTCTAAGAAAGAGGGACAGAAATGGAAGGAACCTGTGTTTTCAAAGCTATATGGATGACATGGACACTCAGGTGTATGGCGGGCAAGGATAGGTAGAGCCTTTTATTTTTCTTCTAATGTCAGATTTGTGGTGATAGCAACATCAAAATAGCTTGATTTCAGTTTAGAGCAGAAGAAAGTTGTTATCTTTCAAAAAAGTGGTTTGTGTGTGACATGTCCACACAAAGATGGGTGGAGGATGTGAACAGCAGAAGCACCAGCCACACCCCATGCAGCACAATTTGATTTAATGGAATGCCTGATACTCTTGGATTTTGTTTTACACCTGCACTTACCGTTCTTCCTTGTTTAAAACAAATCTTCAGTAAAAGAGCAACACTTACAAATATTCAGCATCTGTATAGAGGAGGCTAAGCAAAGAACAAGTGTTGGTTCCCCTTGAGTGTTGATAATAAATACTGGCTTGATTGTATCATGTTGTCAGCTGCTCTGATATATGTGCTACATTTTAACCACATGTTGTTTAAACATCTGTGGAGGGATGAACCCTTAATGATTCTCTGTTGACATGGTAGTAATTACTGTATTTAGTGAAATAACACTGAGTTTATACTAATATTTTTTTCAACTCTCTGAAGTACAGCTAGTATTATATGCAATGAGTTACCAAATAATTGCCTTGCTGACTTCAAGTAGTGCAAATGAAAAATTATATGTTGTATTATGTTATATTTATGTATACAGTAATTGTGCAGAGTCTGAAAGAGTTATGTCCATTTTTGAAAGGTCATCTTGCAATGTGTAGAACTTACAGAATTGAAGACATTAAATTGGACAAAATAGTAGCATCTTGTGTGAGGAAAAGTACTAAAGAGAACTTAGAGCAAAGTTTTTTTTTAGTTTTTTTGTTTGTTTGTTTGTTTGGGTTTTTTTGTTTTGTTGGTTTTTTTTTTGTGGTGACATTCCTGATGTTAGAACAGGTAATATATGATGGTTCTGTCTATAGGCTCTTTTTTTTTTCTGTTTTTTTTTTTCCCCCATAGAGGACTTCCAATGTTGTAAACATAACTTGCTCCTCTTTGGCAGGGTTGCATGGCACACGTCAAGAAGAAATGATTGATCACAGGCTAACAGACAGAGAATGGGCAGAAGAGTGGAAACATCTTGACCATGTAAGGGCTAAATATCCATTTATGTGTAATTGTCTGAACAGAGGCCTTCCAAGATAGGAATTTAAATTTTTTATTTTAAAATCTATCTGAATTCCATGACAGGTTTTGAAAGCTTTGCTTATTAAATCAGAGGGCTTGATGTTCCCCATTAGATAGTTCATACCAGGCCTTGCTGATAAGTGTCTCCTGCATTATCCTAATTGCTACAGTCTGCCAATAGAGGAATGGACTTTCTCTATAAACACTGGATCTGGAGCTCGGATTTGTTCCTGAATTTATTATCTCTTGTAAAATTTGTAGACATCAGTTCTGGACCACATCTTGTGGTCCATATCTCTCCGGTGCCATGTAGTACTAGTGGCAGGGCTGTAGCCTGTTCAGTTTTTTTCTCCTTGTCTTTGCTTTTTTTCCTGTAAGTCCCTATCTGTATAGTTTAGGATCACCATTTAAAAAGGAAGGGATTGTCATTCCTAAAACAAGCCTAGAATTTTTCAGCTATAGTTGAGGTTAACAGAGAGGGACTCCTTCATTATTAAAACCCATGCACTCAGCACATTGACGTTTTCTTTATTATGATGTCACTCTGTGAACAAAAATTTCTTCTTTGTTTCTGTACTCCATCCACTGCTGTGAACAGTTGTTGAACTGTATAATGGACATGGTGGAAAAAACCCGACGATCTCTCACTGTCCTACGGCGATGTCAGGAAGCAGACCGCGAGGAGCTGAATTACTGGATACGGCGGTACAGTGATGCGGAGGATTTAAAAAAAGGTGGAAACAGCAGCAGTAGTCATTCCAGACAGCAGAGTCCAGTGAATCCAGATCCAGTTTCGTTAGGTACAGTATCCTCATTGAAAATCGTGTGCTGATTCTCTTTAAGCTTAGCTAAGTGATAGATGATGTTTGCATTTGTTCTGATTCTTCTGCTATAGTGATGATTCCTCTCTTGCTGACTGCTGGATTCACTATAACTCTTATGCCCAAACAGTGGTGTTTCTGGGTGGAATGGCTTGAGGTTTTTTGGGTGATGCTTGGTAATTTGCTTTCCATTCTGCAGAGTCTGAGAGGGTGGGCTGAGAGGACAGACTGTCATGTAGGGGAGGCAGAGCAGTGAGATGTGCACTGACTCTCTGTCCCTTCTGACTCTTTCTCTTTCCTGATTGTTTAAAAAAATCTGTCGGTGCTCCTGGATTGCAATTTGAAATAGAGGGCTTTCACCTTCTTAAATGCAATTCCTTAACTTGGAAGTTGCCTTTCTAAGGAAATGGAGTTGTAAAGTTCTAGGCCCTTCTTAGGTGCACTTGGTTTCTGTTTAAGAAAGGAACAAGATCTGGAATGCTCACAGTCATGCATGCATGATCCTCCTAGGTCTCTGTCCATCACTGCAGCTTGTGCAGGTGTGTCTGAGGACTGTTTGTTGTGTATTTCCATGGAGCTGTCCAGGCCTTGGCTCAGGCAGCAGAGCTTGAGCTGGGTGGGCTGCAGCCACCTTACAAGGACCAGACCAAACAGCGGGGCTGTCCTCCCTGCAGACCTTCACAGTCACTCTCACACAGTGCCGCACACAACTACTCTGAGAGGACTCTGCTCTATAAAAACAAACTTTAATTTGGGGTCTTTCTATGAGTTACTAGTATTTTGGCCTTTTTCTGCCCCATCTCCTCACTTTCATGGCAGATATGATGCAACAACATCAATGATACCTTTTTATTTTTCTTGTTCTTTTGAAAATGTCAGGAGACTATTAGACAAGCTTGCTTGTCTAATATTGCCTTATAAAAAAATAAATTGTCTGTATCCAATGCCATCTACTCAAAATCATCATAAATTCTGTTCATTACTAGAATTCCAGAATAGAATCAGTAGAATGTGTGTTATTTTGCAACTATATTTTAACTGTGTTTTCCTTTTGCCTTTAAGAATAACTTACCAAGTCAAAAATTTATTTAATTGCAAATAGAAAAACAGAAAAAAAATCTAATCCCATCTCCATCATTCTCTTAGTAAATTTCTAGAGTTACTACTGTAATATTTGGTGCCTCTTGATAACAAACAAATCTTTTTTGTGTGAATGTCAAATTACTTGAGTCAATAGCTCTATAAATGTGCTCCAATCAGTGGGAGGAAGGGTTATGGAAATGCTTCCATAGTTCACTAATAAGTCTAGTCCCTAGAGGAGCCCTTCTCAGAAAGTATTCAGGTAATGGCTTGTATGAACAGTGCTAAATGTAATGTAAAGGAAGACTCATAAATACGGCATCTGAAATGTCAATCACGTTTGCAACTTCAGGAAGAACACTTGTGAATAGATCTAAAGCAGTGGCTCACTTCTCTAGTGAAGCTGTGATGCAAAAAGAGACAGGCCATGCTGCTTGTGTACTTAGTAGGTAGAAAAAATGAACATTCTCTAATGAAACTGGAACTCATGACATTCATCAAAACTTCATAGATAATATTACAATCCAAGAAAAATAGTCATCACCACAACAATAGGTACGTAAGATAAAAAGAAGATCAAGCATACAGTTAGATCCCTATATGAGCATTTGTTTGTGTATATGTCAAGATGAATTCTTGGAAACAGCAAAGTCTTCTGGCTTAAAAGATAGTTATACAGCACAGGCTTTGGCATTGGATACATCGGTCAGCTCTGCAGTACTGTGGGTACAAATGAACTGGTTGGAGTCCATTCAATTTTAACACGTCCACTTTGGTTATTTGGTTGAAAAAATACTTCTGAGACTCACAAACATGAAACTTGGATTGCTTCAATGTAGCATCCATATCAGTTGTAAATATTGGTTAGAAGTGCTTTTATGTCTGACATGACAGGGAGAAAATGCTTACTTTGGAGTCTATGGAAAGCTAATCCTTATATTTCCTCAAATCTGGTAGTAATCTAGTTAACAAAATGAAAATCCCTAACATTCAGAGGTATAACGAAACTAAAGCAGTGTCTGTGAGCCTTGAGATGGTTTAGGGCTTTTTTATTTTAGTTTTGAAGTGGGGGAAAAGGGATTGGAAAATTGCTCCAATATTTTAATTAAAGTACCACAGCATATAAATATTGGGGGGCTTTGCTACAGAGATTCTAAATATCAGTGAATTCCCTTTGTACCTTTTTTTGTTTTGTTTTGTTTTGTTTTTTTTTTCAACAAGGTAATCCAGCCTTTAAATCCATCCTGTCATCTCCGCTAGCAAAAGAGAAAAAAAAGGGGGCCATATGGCTACATTATCTGTGCCTTTGTTTCTTTTTCTTTACGATTCAAATATCATTCCTGAAGTGATAACTTCTCATTACAAACATGCCACAGTCTTCATAGATAGGTCTTGCTGAAAAACTCTGACCTGCGATCTAGTATGGATAATTGGAGTTGAAAAGTAATTGAAGAAAATTCTGATGGTCATTTTGAACCAGTAGACTTTTTTCCTGCCAAAGATTTTTCTGCTTCTTTTGATTTGACATCACTGTAAATCATGTTGAGCCTGGAAGTTTGCAATATCTGATCAATATTTTTCTGTTGCTATTTTTAATTAAAAATTAAATTAAATACTTGATAATTCATTTTAATTCAAAGCAATCCAATACACACATTAGCTATCTACAACAGGTTACAAGCTCCCATTATTCTCCAAGAATGTGCTGAAGGTAAGAGGGTCTTTTCAGTCCGAATAATACATGTTTATGAAAGTCTAAAAATGACTCAGACTTTACATATATTCACTTGATTAACTGTGATGGTCTATGAAGTGAATAATGCATCATCTGACTCCTCCATTTCTGCTGAAGAATTTCAGTACTACATACTGCAGCAGGACTGCAACTTTCATCCTAATAGTGAATAATTACCCATATCAGACACTGTATACTGAAATACACACAGTAGGATAAATTAAAGATGAGGGTTCTTCAGCATCATGGGTTATAAACAAGATCTATAACCATACTGAGTGCAGCTGTGGCTCTAGATAAGTGGAGCAGGCACACATCAGAAGGTCTGCAGCAGTGTTGATATTTTGTGTCTGTTGAATTTATCTGAATGGAAATCTTACAAAATAGAGTTTGAAATCTCCAGCTGAAGAGTGCAATACCTGCAGGATTTGCCTCAGGAAACCAGGATTCTCAGAAGTCTATGAATTTGTGAAAAACACATAGGTTACCCATTTATTAATACATTTCTAAATGTTAACCCTTTCAGACACTTTTTATTTTTTCTAAAGCTGTTCACCATCATGTTTTCAGTGTCAGCCAGAGCATTCCTGCCAACACGTATCTGTTCATGCTGTGATGATAAACCTGTTCCTTTGCCATTTGCAGATAATCAGCAGTGCTGTGATATGCATGATATTCTCAACATGAGCAAACCATAATGCTGTGAATACCACAGTAACATTTATAACTTGTAATTCTAGCATATAAAGCCTCTGTGATACTGGTCACTGATGACATTAAATATTGTTCTTAATCCACTCTCTGCATGGGAGGCTTGGGCTCGATTGTGGCTTAGTGAACTGCATGCTGTTAGTAGGGCTCCAGCTGCAGAAACATTGCATGTGTGTGTTCTCAGTGCTCAGCTCTGACATGGCCTCTGCTTGAGGATGATTCAGTAATACTGTACCTATGTGGCTTTTCTTTTCTTTTACAATGAGAAAACAACAACTATATTTTTAACACAATTTCAAGGGGTGTTGCAATAGCCAGAAAAATGTATTAGAGAGCAAAGAAGGGCAAAGATGTACTTAAAAATACTGGGAACACTTGCCCCCCAGCCAGGTTTGCAAGGTAGTCTCATCAGTAATACCCACCTTCAGATCTCTATTTTTCATTATGTGGAACTGGCACATTTTTGAACTTGACTCTTACAAACCAGGCAGTGAATATTTTATATTTGTTGCTCTGAGAATTTTTCTGGTTTGTTTTGTGTGCCACTAATGGTGTTACATTTATTATAGGACAGAATGAAGCAGAACTTGCATTTGAACTATGGAAACCACATAAATACATAAAAAGGCATATATATTTAATCTGTTCATGGCTGCTTATATGTAGCTTTTATTATTTTTGACCCTCAATATTCAGTACAGCATGCAGGGTATTATTATCACTGCCAGTATTTTCCTGAATGCAGTAAATTGTATAAGATCATCAAAACATGAGCTGTTCATTCCATTTCTTAATACTTTGTGTTATACACTTGCATGTCAGTGTCCCATGCAAAAACCCTCAATTCTTTTGTTTTGCCAACTTACCTTCTGTCCTTCTTTCCAAATGTGAATTAGGCTCTTTGAGATTACTGAACAATTCTCTTCTTTCTAAGTCTTTCTATTCTGTTTTCTTGAGTTTGAGCCTTATGATCACATAAGACTTCATATAATTTATTTGGTTCTAGCTTTTCATCTCAGTTTCAATTTGCAGATCCATATTTATGGCTGCTCTTACAACTCTCCACATCTCTGCACGTCACTCTCTTTCAGCACCTTTTCTCTTTATCTTAAAGCCATCAAAAATTTTCATTCTAATGTGGGAGCTGAAACCAGTGCAATTTTTTTTATTTTCTTCATGTGTATTCTCCCACTCCAACAACTTTTTTACTATTTCACAAATTTATTTCACATTACAATAGAAAACTCCCATACCATTTTTGATATCAAAAGTCTCTTTTGTTTTTACCTCATTTAAACACTTACAGACAAGTACAGACTATTCTCATTTACATATATGCTTTTTATTTTCCTTGTTCATCTTTTTCCTTTGGTTCAGTAGGAACTGTACTAATTAGCAACACATGCTTTCATGCCTTGCCATGAATTTCAAGTAAATTCAGTAGTGTACATACTGTTGTTCTGCATAATGGTACTGTTGCATTTTCACCATTAACAAACCTTTGTTATAATGTCTGACATGTAAAGCTTTTCCAATATCCTTTTCTGAATGATCTGCCTTGTCACTTCAGATTATTCTTATTGTTGTCTGATTTCATTCAGTTTCATTCTAGGCAGCATTTACTTTGACTTCTAGGTGCACAGTTAGTTATTTAATATTATGCATTGTCCTCATTATGGCTTTTTGCAGTTGCTTCTACATTTAGTATTATAGGGACTTCACTCAGCTGTGTTAATCTTGGTTTGAGATTGCTAGATATCCAAGTTAAGATCTTTTGTGCTTCAGTTTTAATGAGCAATTTTTGTGATACTTAAACTGAAGGACTCCTTACCTTAAAAACACTAATATGTAAAATTTATATCCTCTGGTCATTTCCTGTAGTTTAGCCTTAGAAAGAAGATTGTTTTCACAGACTCATCACCACTGCCTAAACAATAGACATCTTACTAAAATTTTTCTGGCTTGGAAAATATGGTTTTTATTATCTTCATAAGTGCTTCTTGTCTTTTTTGTGCACCATTCCAAACTATGGGAAAGTCTCTCATAAGCTCTTGATTTAAGTCTTCTTGCAGAGGATCTCATTCCTCATGTAAATAATTTGTGGGTGGAATAAGAGCTTGATTGATGTTTATGTTTTGGAAATTTTAACAATTATCTGGCAATCTGGTCATTTATGTCATTGAATTCCATTTTTGGAAAGTCATGTGTACTAAAAAACCGGTTCCACATCTCTCTGTCCTTTTTCTTTCTTTTCCTTTTTTTCTTCCCCCCTCCCCGCCACCCAAAACTAAGATCCATAGACTTAAATCAAGGTTATGCTCCCCTTACACTGGATGGCGCCTTAAATACCAGACAGGAAAACTCAATACAAAGCAAAGACATGAATGTCACAAACCCCTTGTTTTGCCACATTTGGAGCCTGGTTGAGTCTGTTCCTGCAGGTATTCCATGAAGAGCAAATAAGAGTGGTTTAATTTTTTGCCTTTATTTTTCTTGAGCCTTCACACAATATTTTCTGCTGTTGCCTCTGTCCCCCTAACAGAACTGGCACTGTGCCTGTAAGTCTAAAAGTTTTAAGGGGTGAAAACTGTACACAGGGCTATTCGTCATCTCCAGAATTGTGCAAGCCAGGCCATACTGAGAATTTTCCCATTTTTGGTATCAGGTCTGAAATCCTCTATCAAGTTGATTAAACCAATATAAATAGCTTTTTTGCAAAATCTACACACACACACACACACACACACACACACACACACAGAGTGTTACTATTTCATGCTTGAGAGCTGTGAAAGTCCGCCGACAAAAATCTATTTTAAATTGTTGTCCCATACTTCAGTGACAAACAGAAGAGCTGGGTAAATCCACTCAGCTGCCTGTCAGATGGGAAGATGTACTCCCAGTCATTGTCTGTAGATTTTCATGCTAGAAACTACATCTGTGAAACAGTGCACAGGAATTCCCTACTCTCTGTTGAAAAAGCTCCTGTCATTTCCACCTTTATTAGCTGCCTGCAATACTGTCATCTTTTAAAAGCATTTAAGTTTATGTGGGCTGCTGTATGTAAATATGGATACATGTAGTGGTATAAGAAATTATTTGCAAACCCTGATGTTTCACTTTTTCTTAAAAATATTGCTTTTTGACCAAGTTAGTGAATAAAAGCTCCTAGATAGAAAACTGAATACATTTCATCAAAATTAGTATTCCAAGAATGGCAGGTATATTCTTGCTGTATTTCAAGCCCAGACATCAAACTTCTAGCAGCATCTCCAAAAACATTCAAACCTGTCTGTAATGTAACAAATCAAGTTATTTTCTTTAGGCAATTGAATTCTGGCACACTGGCAATAGTAATCATGGCAGCGAACTTAGTTTTATGTGTTTGGTTGTATTTTTTTCATTTTGTCCTCTATTACTTTGAATAATAGTTAATCAGTTTTTAAATTGCATTTGAAAGGAGCAATTTCAATTTCATCTGCTGAGGATCTCTATGCTAAATTTCAGACCAAAGTGAATTTTCTTTTTGTATCGTCTGATCTTAGCTCTTTGAAGTCCCTGTGAAAGGGATCTTTCTGATTTCAAAACTCTTAGGCCCAGGCCTAAAGGTTAAACCTTAAAAAAAAAAAAAAGAGGAGAAGGGGAAAGAGCTGTCAACGTGTGATTGAAATATATGGGTGAATTACGAGCTTCAGCTCCAGTGAGGTTGTTTGGCAGCTTGTATTTAGGGTCTTAACCTAAAGTTAAAGGTTCTGTTTTTCAAACTCTTGCAGCTACAGTTGCCACCATGGGCTCAGATGTAGGAAAGCGCAGCTCTGAACTTAGAGAAACACCCCTTTGCTTTTCTGTGGACAACTTATTTGATCACTGGAATGACATCTTGACTTTTATCTGCACTCATAAGTGCTCATTATTTTGCACACAGCAGAAGTGCCAGACCTGCACTGTTGCCCTTTCTTTTTCCTTTTCATAAATACAATGAGAAAGGACAAAGCATGTCACTCCCTCAGTTTGTCTTGCAAAGCCTCCCTTAAAAGTGTGGATACTGTCATACAGAGTTGACTCAAAACACTGTAAAATAAAAATAAAATTAACATCTTCACTTGGCTTAAGATGAGACATTCAAATTGTAAGAACTGATCTGATCTACGGGACATTCATGAGCTACGGCCGTGGCATCCGCTTTGTTTTGAGGAGAGAAAAGCTTCACTTGATTTCTTTGTCTGAGCTGTAATTAAAGAGAAAAGGTATTTTTCTCTAAGCCTTGTTCTCAACAAGCCAGCATTGCTTATGATGCTCTTTCTTTTTCCCTGTTCACCCCCTCCTCCTGCAGAATCTCATCGGGAATTCCTTCACAGGCCTGCGTCTGGATACGTGCCAGAGGAGATCTGGAAGAAAGCTGGTAAGAACTGTTTAAAAACACCAGCTTAGTCGTCTGGCAGCTGTGTGCAGTTGTTAATGCACTGATGTGAGGAATTGGGAGGCGGGGGAAGGGCTTACTAGTAACAAGAAGAAATTGTGTTTAATAATCTTAAACTGGAACTGATCGGGACATTAAATAATTTTATAATAGAATCATCTGCTGCTATAGTTAGGGGAAATATCAGTACTTCCAATGTGGACCCCTATTTTCAGGGCTTCTAATGATTTCAGGATGAAACTTGATATGTTAAAAGTTTGTCTGTTAGCAATTTAAAAAAAAAAAAGAGGTTAGTATGGGTGAGTTTTTTAAGCTTCAGGGTTCTTACCTAGTTAAAGTAAGAATTCCCAAAGGAGGGGAAAAAACCCAAGTACACCTGTTAATAAAAAAGACTTCAACTATGCAAAGTAACCATTCTTAATTTAAAAAAGATTTTGTGCCTGTCAGCCCCCAGTGAAGCCTGTGCTCATAAACCTGCAGAGTGTGCAATGAAGTCAGCAAGTTCACATCTCTGCAGCTGCTCTGGCTGTGTGCAGGGCATTGACAGCATCTTCCTGTGCCTGAAAAGCACCCTGGGCAGACCTTGTGGTTGTGCAAAGTTTTCTTAACTCTGAAACTCTGCCTGAGCACAGGAGTTTGCTGGCAAGAATCCCACTCTGGTGCTGCAGCTGAACCTTTGCTCTTGTGACACTGACATCAGAGCTTCCTTGTTTTCAGAGGGGCCAGGAGGCAGCTCTTAAACTCCTTCGAGATAGTCGAGGAGCTATTTATACACCCAAACATGCCCCCCTGCTTTTGAACACCTGTATAACCATGAAGTCTGCAGCAGCTGTCTGAGCAGCAGTCAATGATTAAATGGCAAATATGCGGCAGTGTTGATGCTTTCTGATCAAATCTCCTGTAAATGCTTGCTGCTTTCCAATGTATTTTAAGCTAGATACACACCATACAGGTAAAAAATGTTATGCTGTTATCTTGTTGCATCAGACAAGAAGTTGTGTTTTGTGTATAATGTGGGTTTATCATGTAAAGTCTACATTTTTCAATATGTTAATGTTTTAAAAACTATTGTATTTTCTGTGAAAAATGGCAAAACTTTGTACATGTTCTTGGTTTTGTCCAAGAAAAGTGTAGCCTTTGTAATTCAGTGCCCAAGAATATTTTCATATTGTCATATTTATGTTAACATTTTAAATGAAAAATACGAAAAAAAAAAATTGCAATCCCAGGAAATCTCACTATGAGGAGCATTATTTTGTTAAATTTCGAAAACTTCAGTCCTCTTGCAAAATCTACGGTTTGATGTCATTTGGCATCAGGTAATTTATGACTCGTGGATTCAATACATTAGAAGAAAAAGATTTCTTCATAATTAACACAAGTTAGTAGAAGATTTTGGCTTGAGTTATGAAGTTGGATGTCCATTCACACTGCACATATTCGTGAATGGTAGTGTACAGGTCCTGTGATGTCATCTTGTGAACATCTATGTCATCAGTTCCTTTGAAACAAAGTTTTTCCTTTGGTCCTATTTCCAGTCTCTTATTTTCAGGCTGATGTGGGTTTAAATCAAGTGATTGTGCCTGTGAGTTGGAGAATAAAAGAAGTGTGACTCTGCAGGATGCATACCTATATCTATTACTACATCTAATCAAACATTAGAAAGCATACTGCTTTCATAAACCATGGTCTGCATTTTTAGGAGGGTGTCCACAGTTTCATGATGAAGGCAGTAAAGGTGCAATTCGGCTCTCTGAGAATAGGCCTCTGATGCCATTTGAGATGCTACATAGTTTCCTGACTGGGCAGCAACTCCCAGTCTAGAAGACTACAAATCCCTCACAGGTTATTTCTTTTGGTTCAGTGTGGCTCTCTTCTTGTGTCAAATGTCTGTAAACACCAATGTGCCGAGAGCTGAATCAAGTATGAAATTCTGTTTGGAATGCAGAATCCATTACACTGAAAAAATGTGGCATAAAAACAGCATGTGGAGAAGGGATTCACCTTTAACTTTTGGAGATTGGTAGACTCCAGTGTAATTCTTGAAAGTATACCAAGTTAGGCATGTGCTTTTGTGGCTGCTGGACATATTATGCAGTACCTCATGGGTTAAAGCCAGGTAAGCCCACTTCAGTTTCATACACCTGAAGAAAATGGTCATCAGTGCCCTGATTCACCTCATTGAATTATGGACATTTATGGTTGAAGTGTTCAGGAAAAGTTCTTGGTGTTCCTCAGTAGCTGAGAGAGATGCAAGCAGGTAATGAGGATCAGTCAGATCACAGGTTGGATGACTTTCTCTTAGGGAGTACAAACTTCCCTTTATTAAATACAGAGAGGATCACAGGCCCATTGTGGGCGGCTGCAGTAGCTTCTTCTGTGTCATGTAGAAACTGTCTCCATGCCATCCCTGTCACTTAGCCAGGACCAATGCCCATGGCAGCCCAGCTGAAAACTCTGGAGTTACAGAAGAGGAATGAAATGTCCGTCCTTTGTCTCTACAAGGGCAATAAGGGTCCTGCGCCTTGTACAGAGGTAGTCCTGAGACAGATGATGCATATTGGGATATAATGCTGAGATAACTCTTTGTCACCAGCTGCCAATGGCCACCCTTACCAGGGTCAGCCTGAGAGTGAGATGATGCAAAATGCTGGGGTGGCACAGGACTGCATATCTGCCCACCACCTTTCTTTTCTCATCATGTGGACAAATGTGTTGATGAGGTGAGGGAGGTGACCAGGAGCTGGCTGGTGAATAATCATTTTGGGTGAAAGATAAGTACCTCTCTTAAGTCTGCTCCAAGGACTTCAGACCATGCTGAGTAATGCCTATTCCACACAAGCTGTTTGGTTCCTGGAGCTTCTCTTGTGTGTTAATGCTGCTCAAAGGGGTGGGAGATGTCAGTTGCATTCCTAAAATGACAGTGAACTTGTGCCAAGAATGCTTAGGCACAGGATGCAGTACAGGGATCTTCAGTACTTGGTTTTAAAAACTTGCAGATTTCTGCTCTCTGATACTGGAATCTAATAACTTCCTTTTCTGGAAGGACAGGGAAAGGAAGGGTGCTGGTCTTTCTTGGTCTTCATAGCTCAATATTGTCAAGGGAAATAAAAATCTCCTTCGCCATCACCTATATCACAAACATATCTTAAACTATGAAGCTTGGCTATAAAATATCCATGCCTATTAATATTCCATGCCCATAAAATATCAGTAGTATTTAGTTTGAGAAGCTGTAAAGAAGATCAATGATAGAAAATTTTGTCTATTTTTTTATGTGTTCATGAGTTTGTAATATATTGAAATAATGATGGTGCATTGTGACCTGACACATTTTGACTTATTTATTTTCACACTTAGTATAGCACAATGCAAATTCTGTCATCAAAGTTAATGGAAATATTAAAATCCAATCCATAGTTTAAGCCAGTCAAAAAATATCAGTCAGGCATATGGCCTCCTAAGCACTTTCAGGCATCTTCATGCAAGAGCATGCAAGAAGTGTTGCAAAAAACTTATGCAATATAGAAGATATGATATAATTTTCAGTTTCTATATTTGGACTGAAAAGTAGATTGTCTGGGATGAAAAACTGCAATTAGAAGTCCATGTAAAAATGTTGGAGCATTTTGCTTCTGTTTATTATAAGAAACTGGCATTTCTAACCACTGCAAACACCTAACTGCAAAACTAAATTTATATGATGTAACAAAAGTGCATCATGTCATTCAAAAATCATTTCTATTAGTAGCAGATATCAGCAAGAACACAGATTTTCTTTAAGAAATCCACTTTGTCAGTAACTGCAGTTCATAGACACGAAACGCCTGTATTTAAGTTGCCTCATTTTTCTGAAAATGGTAATAAAATTGCATCTGTATGTTTGCCTGTGTATATTTCTTTTCTCACGATCAGTGAATGGTTACAGTTGGTAATAAATATTCAAGCACCTTGCAAATGTCCTACCAATTCCCTTTGCTGATCTCCGTGTGCCTGTGGGACTAGAATAGGAATGCATAATTTAAATATAAATTGCCTGATTTGCATATACAATTAGACTAGCTGTAGCTTTGATCGTAAGCAAAAATTATTGTCCTGTATTGCCACTTAGATAGAATTTTAATTCACCTTGAATATTCAAAGGAAATTAAGCCTTGGCTGTATGGTTGAAGGGTATGATTTTTTCCTCTCCTGAGGCTTTCCCTAAACAACATTTATGGTAGGGTAATATAAGGGCATATTTTCAGCCTCATAAAAAAAAAGGCATAAGTTTTATTTCTAAATCCCACCCCACCCGCTTGAAAACTTGAGTTGAAACATCTCTTGCAGATATGCACACATGTAACATGCACACATATTCCTCAAGAGAGCTCTTCTTTCATCTTAGTTCAGTTTTAGTCAATACAAAGCTAAAGTTAAGACTTTATTGTAATTTGCTTAATAACTGAAAATGGAGACTTCATGTAGACATTATTTTTTAAATAACGTGCAGAGCTATCAGATGTAACTCAGGAGAGTGACTGAGTACCTGTACATCAGATTTATGTCTGCATGTTTGTGCACACAAATACATGGGCTAAATACTAAAACTCAAACACATACCACCATTTCTAATACTTAGATTTTAATCTACAGTAAAACATTTTTAATAGAAATCTGTGGCTTTAATTAAACAGAACATTTAATTAAGGTGGGTTTTAAGTGCGTGAAACAATTAAGTGCAAACACTTGAATGAAACATGTCATAATTAGTTTTAATAGAGTGTTAATTGGTACTAGGTTTGCCAAGTTAATAATTACCGCTTATTAAATTTTCAATTAATCATTGTCATTTTGCTTTGAATAAAGATGAAAATTAGATAAACTAATTCAGGGGGAGGATGGTTTCCTTGTTAATTAGAGCAGTTAATTAAAAAAAAAAAAAGAAATTACTTGTTTTAGTTGTCAATTAAAAGACCGTTCATTAGTAAAATCTTTGCACTCTTCCTGCATCAAAAGCCAAATAACTAATTTGAGACAATCCATGTTTTCTGGAATAAAAGATATGACACTAGTATGTACCAAAGAAAGGACTCATGCTACCATGGTTGTTTTACAAGAAGCATGAAGGTTTAAGTTTAATGAAGCAGGGTGCCCCTGCTCAGTGTTAATTATGCTCCATAGTCTTGCTGGGCAGGGTGTGCTCAAGAGCTCAGAAGAGCCAGGAAGTCAAGTCTTCAAGTATAAACATAGATTTGAAAGACAGATCAGGAGGTCAAATGAATGTTAATAAGCAAATTTTTTTTTCTCATAAAACAGTATGTCCAAGAAAAGATACTAGACCAGTGATTTGAATTTGTAAAGTAAACTCTTGGGATTTTTAATTTCATGTATTTATGTTTTAAAATACGGGGAAAAAAGTTTTTAAAGACCATAAATCCTGTCTTAATTTTCCCAAGCTTAAAAATACATTTTTTAAAAAGTCTGTAATATGTCTTCAATAATAGTTGTCAAGTATATGCATATATCTGCTGTGCTGCAAAACTGATTTTCAGTGTTCAAAAAGATGGCAAATAAAATGGACCAGGGATCTGAAATTATGGTACCTAAAGAAGTACTGCCTGAGAATGAAAATAGCAAGAATCATTATCAGTGGTAGAGAATTTGATGATGGGGAAGAACAGAAGCACCTCAGTACTTCTTGAGGATGCTTGAGGAACCAGGTTCCTCTGTGTCCTACTCAGAATGACGACTGTGGTTATAATTGAAAGTAATCTCAACATAATGATAACAACAGCGGTGCATTTCCCACCTTGGGCCCAGGAAGGCGTGTCCTGATGTGCTGTGCTGATGCGGGTTCTGTGTCCAGATGTGCTGTGCTGACATGGGTTCTATGTCCAGATGTGCTGTGTGACACGGGTTCTGTGTCCAGATGTGCCCTGCTGACGCGGGTTTCTCCCTGCTTTGCAGAGGAAGCTGTCAATGAGGTGAAGCGCCAGGCGATGGCCGAGCTGCAGAAGGCGGTGTCGGAGGCGGAGCGGAAGGCTCATGACATGATCACTTCGGAGAGGGCCAAGATGGAGCGCACTGTTGCCGAAGCCAAGCGCCAGGCGGCAGAGGACGCCCTGGCTGTCATCAACCAGCAGGAGGATTCAAGTGAGGTAAGGACATTGCTGGGCAGGTGTCACCTCTGCCTGCAAACCATTGGTGTGTCTGAGCTGGCTTTAATCTGTGTGGCACAGGGCATCAGAGCCCACTATTAACTCTTTGCACAGCTATTCTGGATGTGTATGTCAGGCATACACCAAGTTCCAAATTCTCTCGGCTATGTTGTAATCTGAGCCCAAAATAGCTAGTGAATTTGAGCTCCATTCTCGGCTTTTAACTGCTGCTCAGGGTTACATATAATGTTCTAATTTGACTTTTTGTCGGAACCCAGGAAATTCCTTTGGCTGCCCTGGAGGACTCGAGACCCTGTCAGGGGGCTCGGAGACCTTGGCACAGAGCCCAAGACCCTTGTGCCTTTGATTAAGCCCTTGGAAAAAACAATTACCAACCTTATATGAAGAATTACAAGCCATGAAAATTTAGGTAGAATGATAGTGAATTTATCACGGGGTGAAAAATAGATTTTTTGGAGGTTTTAGAATGGGGGTTCAGGGAGCAAGATGGAGGAATCTGGACATGTCCAGCCTTTCTCCTTCTTCTTGGCCTCCATCTTCTGCTGTGATGTTGGCGCTTTTAGATTTGTTTAGAGTAGAAGCTCACTGTCTAACATAGGTGATAGGTATTGCAAAGTAATTGTAAACATTGTACACATAGTTTTTAGTATAAAAAGATAACACCGCCCCGGAGCACGCAGAGTGCCTCTGATTGTCCTGCTGAGCAGACCTCGGCAGCCCAGGAGAAAGAATTTTATAGATAAGATACAATAAACAACCTTGAGACCGAGAAACAAAGAGTTCTGACTCCTTCTTCAACCACTGGGCTGGGAAAAGAGACTTTCTAATGTATCTTGGGGTCACTCTGACCAGCAAAAGTCCCGAGAACTTTTCAGTAGCTTCTATTTAAAGCTCTTCAAACAACCATACTGAATAGATAAAAAGATGCTCAGTGGAAAACATCTGACACTGAAATCTAATTTAAACAAAGAAATTATTCATAATAGAGATTGTAGAGCAAGGTGGCTAAAAACTTGTCTGGGAAAAGTGTTGGATGCAGAAGCGATTAGCAAAAGATGATGGCTCCTGTAGGACAGAATGTGAATGTAAATTTGCAAGTGTTTCCTTATTTTGAATGTATTACTTTGGCTGCAGGGAATATTTCAGAGTTGAGGAATGGGCAAAGAGCATTTGTTAGAAGAAAAAATAGGCTGAGAGATCAAAGAGTAAAACAAGAATAACTATGTTAAGCCTTGATATACTTTCAGACCTGAGAGCGGAAACCTTGAATTGTTGTGATACAGGACATCTGACACCATGACTGTGTGGAAGCTGGAAGTGAAAGAGCAGTGTGTGTTTGACCAGTGCTGCAGCAGTCTAGATAGCAATTAAATTTTATGCTTGTTAAAAAAAAAAGAGTCCCAAGTTAAAACTGCTCTTAAAAACAGACATGGCAAGGAAATTTTATCAGTTGTATATAATCTCCATTTCTCAAGACCACTGAAATGAAAGAGCATTACCTTCATGAAGTATTTGTTGTTTGTATATTAACATCTTGACTGTAGCACACTTTTTAAATAACTTCTAAACATCACAGAGTTGGGGAAAAGAGTCGGTGACAGTCCCTGTTACATGGGGACCTACATGTATGCTCATGTCTAAACACTTTGCATGGGCTGGATGGGCAGTGTTGTAGAAGAGTCACTTAAGCTGAGAGATGCAGATGAGCTACCTTCAGCATGCTGAGAACACTGGCAGAAATCACCAGCACATAAGTCAGTGGCATGCTGCAGTATGCATCTGTAATTTGAGGGAGCGTAAGTTTTTAATTCATACCAGGCTTCTCTGGAGATGAAAGACCATTGTGGGATCACTGAATGCCCAGAGTTTCTCCTTAATGTGTAGCAGATGAATAACAAGGAGACAAAAGGAATTGATTTTCAGCATCTGAAAGTTTCTCAGGAAGAAAGGGACTAGGGGAAGTATATGTACCCTTTAAGTACTAGCTGTTCCATTGTAGACTAAATGAGACATAAATTCAATTTATTGGACTTTTCTATCTAAGATACTCAAGGACATTTTCCTGCACTGTTCGTAGAAAGGACATTTTTCTGACATAGCATCATTAAAGAGCTTTCATTTTGTATGTGTATATATACAAGAGATTCCTATTGTTAAAACCAAAATTACAAAGGTAAATACCTTTAGAGGAAACAGCAAATTAAATCTATTTAGTGAACTGATATAGCGTGAGCAGGACAGAGGAAGTACTTATGTGCCAGTACATACAGCCCATTTTTCCACAAACAAATGTGAATCCAAAGGAATGTGTAGACACTTTGTGTGCTGTGAATAACTTCTGAGCAGTTAAAGCTCTGGAAAAAGCCATGTAACAACATCTTTACTTCTGCAGCAGAACTGATTATAAGGTTTTTCACTTCTTGGGAACAGGACTTTGTGCAAACAATTCTTTTAATTGCATTCTAATGAAATGTGGCTGTTAAGGTTATAGATGTTCCCAGGGCTGTGTGTCCTCAGGGAGGTTACAAGCCTCCTGGACCTAGAAGTGAGGTCTAGTGTCCTGATCCTGCAACTTTCACCCTGTTTTGAGCCACAAGTTTTAGTAAGCCATCAGAGAGAAATCAAGTTTGGCAGTTTGTGTTTACAGGTGATTGATTAACTGTGAAGGGAGATGATGGCAATGCTTATTTGAGTCAGAGTTGTAAGAAGTTCCTCTTCAGCTTCTAATTCTGACAAACTCCAAATACTTAGGGCAATGCTTCTCACAGTTACCTGTTAAGTCAGGCTGGTTTGGATTCCTTTGAGGGTGACTTCTGTAAGAATGGGCTGGACTTTTCCTTCATCTTTGGGGACAGGAAATCAGTTTGCCACTGTTTGAAAAGTGTTTCTTCAGAGATGAGACTCTGTTTTTCAGGTTTGAGGAATAAAACTCCACATTTGTTTTGGTATTAATTATATCTTGGATCTCTCTGTAGACATTGCTCCTCACTTGTCTAGGTTTTAAGTCTGCATAAATTCTCTGTTTACAGCTTTCAGCAGAACACTTACAGCAGCGCAGATTCCTGTGCACCTAAGACACTGGAGTAAAATTTCTAGAGCTAGAATATTTCCAGTTTCAAATCTGAGACTGTTCCAGTGCAGCCCCTGAAGTCTTGCAGGTCCAGGGGGAGTGCTGAGCACCTCTCCTCATTCCTTACCCTTGTTGGGACATTGCTCTGATGCATGCAAGAAAGCTCACTATAGGCTGCTATGTAACCTCCATGCAGTTCCTGACAGACAATATTTCTCTCATGGGTGTCATTATTTCTTTTGGCTGTTGCAACTATGAATGGAGATGAGAATTTTATGCCAGATTTGTAATGTATCAGATACCATTTTCGACTAATATGGCTACTCCCTGTCTATTGGCAAGGTTTCTCCCTTGATTTGTTATTCAGTAAAATGCATCCTGGACCTAGCTGAGGCTTCTTGAAGCTGTTCTGGTGTGAGAATTTTGTGGTATGATTTTTAATGCAGTCTGCTGCAGTTCTCAAAGTGATGACTAGTACCAAGACTTGGGATTTTTGTGATTATTATAACGCAGCCTCCTAATCCAAGACCTTTCAGAGAACTTTCAGAGAACAAAGAAAAGTAGATCAGATTTTTTATATTTTTTGTTGGTGTTGCTGATTTCTTTGTTGGGTTGGGTTTTTCCCCTGGTTTTGCTTGGTTTTTTCGGTATTCTGTTTTGCTTTGTCTTTAACCCAAAAAAGTAGGATCCCTGAGTGCAAGATTGCCTTCAAGAAGAAAAGTGAAGTTGAGCATATTAAGATGATGAGATCAAAATTCCGAAATTAAGAGAACATGAGACAGTAAGAAGACTAATAGGAGAGGTGTAATACTCAGAAGCATCTTGACTTTTAAGAAGTGGTGTGCAAGATTTTGAGAATGACCACATTGCATAGCATAGGTAGAATTTTTGACTCTGACTTGAACTCCTTTGTTGAACTATTGTTCTTTACTTACCTTAGAGTTGTTCAGCATGGTTTAACTAGCACTCCCACTGCTGCAGTGTCCGTGCATTTACTTTCTAAACATTTTCATAGTTTCTGAACATAAGACCTTGCAACTGACCTGCTAATGTTCATGCTTTTCTGTTATTGAAATTGGTTGAGGACCAGCTGACTGAGCAGGCTGTGGCTGGAAAGCAAAAGGACCAGGACAAAGCCTACCTGTCAGCATGGCTGTTCTGAGCCACGAATTATTTCTTTACCAGTTCCTTACAGTTGCTTGACAAAAAATGACCCATTCATCAGTAGTTGGCTTGGCTAAGTATAGAAACATGTGTGAGCAGCCTACTCTGTAATGACTGCTGTGCTTGCTTTGGCTGCAATGTGCTGCTTTGCAAATCAATTTTAATAGTGAGGGTGAACAGTTTAGCAAAGAGCCTGACTGCCCAGATTGTAAGGGGGGGGGGGGGGGTAGGGGGGTGGGATCATCATGACATCTGACTTTCTGGTTTGGTATAAAATGCCACTGAAAAATCTGACACTCAGTGTTATCCCTCAGTTTTGAGTAAGCTGGGGGCTGGGGACAGGGAAGGAGCACAAATGTTTCAGTTCTCTCTACTTAAAGCAGATGCTGACATCTGCTCAGATAAAACAAGTATGTAACTGGTCCAACATTGCTTTTAGGAGATGTGTAATGTTAGGGCTTGTTTATATTGCAGTGGTTCATGTTATATGTGAAAATCACACCTGACATTTTAAAGACAGCTGGGTTCAATCTCTGCTGACCAATCCATTGAGACCAGGACCATGCCAGCAAACCTGACTCTGAGCATCAGATGGTATGGTTCAGGCAAGCCTGGTTTTCAGGCTGGTATTAAGTTTAATACCTATGTCAGCTAATGTTTAATTTTTTGGCAGAGCATCTCTTGGAAAGAAGCACATCATCCCCTGCAGTGGTGGGTAGTACAGAGGCATCAGAGCCATGTGTTCTGCACAGGATCAGCCAGATGTGATGTGAGCATTGGCACTACCCCAGACTGCTAAGCTAAGCCTGGCTCGCCAGCTTGCATGGCTCTTCTGTGGGCTGCTCTGCACCTCTGTTTGCAGGATTTAGCTACTCTCACTGACTTGAATGAAAGTTCATGTATTTCACTCAATAAACAGTGGCTTGGGCAAGCCTGGAGTGTTCCGTGATAGGTGTAACTTTACTAGAAACATCTAAAAGTTTGAATGTCATTTTGACACAGTGTGGGAATTTCCAAAGTACCAATATATTTCCCTTTCTAATGACTCTTGTATAAAATTCTCATAAACAACTTTGCTGGATTTTTACACTGCTATTCAGCAGCTCATACAGTTCTCATTTACGCCCCTGTGGTTTCAGTGCTTTCTAGATGTTCCTTCTCTTGTGGTTAGCAGTGGTGGAGTTTTGAATGTCATGGGTATTGCAGAACTGGGAAAAATCTGGGTTCTTCATACCAGTCGTGCTTCCTTTCATGGTAAACTGGGGAAATCCAGAATTTCTCAAAGATTACAGAACAAAGAGGTTTTTTTTATTTATTTAAGCAAGCTGTATGCTAAGTCTCAGTTGGAGTGTCAGAGGAAAGCAAATACTCAATTCTGGTTGAATATTTCAGAGATGAAAGCAACAGGATGGGCAAAATTACTGACAAGTGTATGTTTTGGTGCTGGAGAACACAGAAATGGAGACGTTTTGTTTTTAAGAATTTTGATGAGGCCAAACAGGAGTGTTCAAAGATGGAAGCTTAAATGCATGAGAATTGAGAGTTTGACCTAAGATAAGGCTCTGACCTAAGACTGATGTTCCTTGTCAGTTGAAAGAGGAGGATGAAATATGATCAGTGGCATAAATTTGGAGTGAGATTCCCATCTGGTGCAATTTAGCTCAATTTCATTGCATTAATGCATTTCCAAGGTAGCGAAGTTAAATTGAATTACATAGTCTGAGAATCTAGCTTTTGTATAACCTCACTTTTTCACAGGCAAATCAACACAGTGTTAAACTGCAGTCCAGTCCTTCTCATGGTTTTAGCTATGTGTGGAACTCTGCAGAGCATGAGCTGGAAGTGCAGTGTAGTAGATCACTACCTAAAGACAGAATATATAGACCAGCAGAGGCTTTGAGAGATTGGCCTCTCCCTTTTCCAATCCATGATCAACTCTAGCTGCACCATTCCCCCTGCTTTTCCTGTGCTTTAATGATGAGGATTCTCCAACATCTCAGGCACTTTGCTCCTGTTCTTAACAGAATTTTGATCCTGTTGCTTCTGCTAATCCTTGTAGAGATGGATGTAGACATTCACTGCAGTGATGTTTGGGTGCTACTGCCGCTTTTAGGCTACCATCTCATATTTAAGAGTCTGAGTTCATTCAGTTTCTTCTCACAGTTTATGTTTGTCTGACTTCTGATTAATCTGGTTGCCTTTCTTCAGGTTCTTTCAAAGTCCTGTTTGTCTTGCTTGATTTTCTGTATTTGAAGTGCATCATCTCAACCTTGATAGGCCTCCCAGCTGGATCTTGCCAGTGACAGGAGATAGTCTTAAATCAGGACTAAGGCAGTCGGTAGTTGTGGCCATATGCCCTTGTATGAAGATTGCCATCTTGTCACCAAGGTGACTCTGTGGCCATCTGTTGTCCAAGGTGCTGTGTACACACCTCAGCGAGGGTGCTCTGTTTTGCTGGTACCTGGTAGAGCATCCCAGGAAGGAAGATACCCTGAGTTCAATCCCACAGTGAGGTCAGGCTTTGTCTGTGATAGCTGCATCTGCTGGAAAGACACGACCAGCAGGGGTGTATGAAGCACAGCCCAGGCTATTAGCTGCCATCTCGAGCCTGGCTTTTCTTTGGTAGAATTTGGGGCTATCAGCCAGCACTGGGAACAGAAAGGATTTGTTTCCAAAGCTTGTGGTGCCCGAGCCTGGTCTTTGCTGCTCTTTTTCACTACTTGCACATGGGAAGGAGCAATGAATGGTCACAATGGCGAGGACTGTGTGGGACAGGGAGTTCTGCACACCAAATACAGCTGCTGTCTCAGTACAAGCTCCCTGTGATGTGTGTGTGTTTATGTTAATTTGCACTGTAGTAATTTTTAAACGCAATAAGTTGCTGCATAAATGTGATATGTAAAATTTATTTTGAAATTCTTGTATTTTATGTGGTTTTATTCCCGCAATTACACTAAAGCTGTAACGACCTGTTAAATTAGAAATAATATGTCCAATGAACAAAATCACATACCAAACAATGTAGGACACATTAAGTAATCATGTAAGGAGCCAGCTTAGTACTTTATCACTTCATTAAAATCTTGCACCTATGTATCACTTTTTATGTTCTGTACCATCTGATAGTTAACTGATGTCTACTTTAATAAGAAAGTTAAATCAATAATGTTAGAATTAAACTACTGACATCAGTACAGATCATGTGGTAAGATACTGAAATATTCTGTGGTGGATCTGGTCACATCTGGAGTCAGATCTCTATGTGCTCCTCAAAAAGGGAAGCAAAGGAAGGTTCTTCTGGCCTTTGAAACAGATACTTGAATAAGTTTGACACCCTCATAGTAATTCCCATTCAATTAAAGCATGAACTTCAATGCTGCAAACAGATCTGCACAAGGCAGGAATTCCTGCACCTGGGCATTTGCTGGCTGGTTTCAACATTATTCCACGTGGGAGGAAGGTGTCGTTTTGGAAAAGTCTACATGGGGATGTTTGTACACGTGCATTTGTTTTCAGATAGGGAAATAAAGGGAACTATGGACCAAACACATGGCTGGCAATTTATCTGGAAGCAAATAGCTGGGAGGTCAGCAGACATGTGGAAACTGTGCAAGTACAACTGGAGCAGGATTATACCATGTCTACTGATCACAATACAAGCAAGCATGAAGCTGTCAAAATGAAACTTTCATTAGTATGAAAGAAACAAAGAATTATAGTAATAAAGAAATAGAATATATAGTAAAGAATATAAAATAAATAAAATATAGATACATATAAAATACAAAAATATAAATATATTAATATAATATAAAATAAATAAATTTTATAATAAGGAAATATTAGTATAGCAAAAGAAGGAGAATCCAGGTACATCACATTTCGTTATCTTTCTTGTTAGCAGAATGAAATGCTAATACAAAATGCTAATGCAAAAATATCAGGTCATTTGGATGTATGCATAAATATGTCTGTGTGCATACATGTCCATGTAGAGTGGTCAAAGTTACTGACAGTTATTTTTCATTGTGAAGATAAAGGCTGTTTAAAGAAAAGGTGTTTGCAAATAGCATAGATATTCTTTTCCAAAGGTGAATTTACCTCTTTGGCGCTGGAGAGAATGCGAGCAAATGAACCTGAAACAATGACTACTGAATCAAAACCAGGTGATGCCTGGTTCAGACAAGGAGTCTGAATTCCTGACATTTAACTACCAGAAACATCTGTTTCTGTGTGTTGGTAATTCCACCTTTTTTTTAAAGTGTTTTTAAAGATGGGAACAATTTTATGAATTAAAAAATAAAAAGTCCCCAACACATGTATCTGTAATTACCTGGTTTAGTCTGTGTGTTTAATCAGTATGAATTGAGAATGCTGTGTACCTTTGATTTCAAT